CAAAGCACAGCACTGAGGCAGCAATATCAGTAATTTGGCACACTACGCTGGACAGTGCTTGCATGAGAGAAACTAACAAAAGCAACAGCAAAGAAGAAAGCTCCGGGTCCCTTTGAAGCAAGTTCACAGTACGAGAGAGAGAGGCTACAGTCCCAGTGGAGAACATGCAGGTGTTGTTGCTCTCACTGGACAGTAGTGTGAAAATATTGGAAACATTGTGCACCTTATTATCAGGTTCACCCTTCCTCACCAAGGATTCGCACTATGAAAATAACGTTGTTGAGTTATTCAAAGTAATGTTTACATTTTGATGAAAGATATATTTGTCATTCACGAAGCTATAACAAAATCAACTGCTTTTTAAATGAAAAAAAAACTTTCCTTGGTGTAAAATTGTCAAAGCAAGACGAAATCAATTAATCATGATTAACTACACAAAATAATGTGATTAATCCAGATGAATCATAATTTTTATACTGTTAACCCATTTGCCTTGTTTGTGTCTTTAAACTATCCATAATAATATAGGCTGAATTCATGATCATAATTGCTCAAATATGAAAAGAATTTATATCAATGTTGCAATCATATAATAATCAGAAGCAGTTGATTAACAACAAGAATTTCATCATAAATCCTTAATAAAGAGTAAATGTGTGGCAGATTACTCATGAGTCATGTGGTATTCTTTGATATAATCTTTAGCAAATTTAACAATCTGCAGTAATGCTGTTAGGATGAGAAAATCTTTGGTGTCGTTCAAGTTATATTCCTCATGATAGTTGCTCACGGGGAAGATGCATTTCATGGGTGGACCAAGTCTGTGGCTGGACTCCAGCATCTGAACACAAAGAAAATGAAATAAACTGATTCTGAGACAAAAAAAAACACAACACATTTGGCTATGGACTTCATATACATGCTATGTGTTTAAGAAAATCATATCTTGGCTATAACAGCCCAGTATGTCTAAGGAGAACGTACATATCACACATAGAAAAATCAGTAAAAGGTGACTAAACCTTTTCTTTGATTTTCCTGCTTCTGTAGATCTGCGTTAGATCTTTCTTGACCAGTGGACAGACGTCATCATCAACCTTGGTCATAACAACCATATGAGGGATACCTGACGTGTACAGATAATAGTAGATACTTAGTAAATCCCAACTGATGAAAACACAGCTTGAGCTCAAATAAACAAACATTATTAGTTGTAATAATTGATTCTAAAATTACTGGGGGGAAAAAAAGACATCGCATTCCCTCGCAAATGTTTTATGTGCTCTCGCAAAAAAAAATGTGTTCCCTCGTAAATGTTTTGCATTATGATGCAAACAGTTTGCATTCGTTTGAAAAAGCTTTGCTTTGCTTAAGCTCAGACATGGAGCAGCTTATTGAATTTTACATTGTTCTTGGATTGACATGTCCTCATACAGTAAAAGCTACAGTTATAGAGATTGCAGAATAAACTCAGCATAGACTGGTGAAACTGGGAAAACAGCTTTTAACGTTAGCTATGCTAAAAACAAAGTGTAGGCAAAGTCGTTGGGCACCTCTGGTCCTACGTTTGCTTGCTGTCTGACAAGCATATATTTTGCAAGGGAATGCAAAACATTTGCGAGGGTGCGCAAATCATTAACTTTCTTTTTTTTTTAGCCAAAGCCCCTTAGGGGCTCCATAAAAAAGTGTACATCAACAATGAAGTTAATTAACGTCTAAAATGCCTGATGTTTCAAAACTGAGGATCAAATCTTGAGGCAGGAAACCTGACAAAAAAATAGTGTTCAAGTTTTTTTTTTTCTTGATCCTAAATATTCAAACTAGTGAATACATTGTGTAAAAATCTAGTTTTATAAATCTACATTATGTAAATTATCTTTGTATATATAAAAAAACAAAATACAGTATATGTAATATGAATGACTGATGTGTGCACTTCATTCTTTTCCTAAATAAATGTATAGCAATTAAAGAATACTTGGAATACATTTGCAACATGCATAAAACAATCATACATATACATATAAACATATAAACATCTTCCAAGGAGGCATGGCATACCCTTTTATGTAAACTGACCCAAAACCTTTCATTTTGTAACACTTGGGTGGTTGGGACAGGATCTTCTCATTGATTTAGGCTAATGTAAGCATATTGACTGCACAGTTCAAATTTCACATGCACATTTTCCTTTTCACATTCATCATCGCTCTTTACCACCATCATCAAAGTACCAACTAAGATAACATATTTTGCAAGAATAGTGTAGCATTCCTTCAGTACAGTGCCAGAGACTTGCAGACTCCATGGCAAGATACACTGAAGTTTCCTGGCTGCTTGTGGTGGCCCAATAAGTTACTAAGACACTTTATATTGGCTTTTCCTTTTTGTCATCCGTCGCTACATTACAAAAACTCACCCAGGTTCATGGCTTCCTTCCTAACGGTCTCCATCTTGTTGATGATGCCAGTGTCCATTCGCGAGATGGAACTTGCAGGCACAACACTAACCAGACAGTGAACTTTGTCCTCAAGGCTAGGTTCTCTTACAAAGCCTTGATCTCCATCACTCAGGGGAGAAACAGGATTAAACTTCATTATAGAAAGAAAATGAAGAAAGAAAGTGAGTGAGAGAGAGAAGAGTGTGCGTCCCTATTAACCCTGTTCTTCAGTGGTCAGGACCCCCATGGACCCTCACAGAGCAGGTACTATTTGGGTGGTGGATCATTCTCAGCACTGCAGTAACACTGACGTGGTGGTGGTGTGTTAGTGTGTGTTGTGCTGGTCTGAGTGGATCAGACACAGCAGTACTGCTGGAGTTTTTAAACACCTCAGTGTCACTGCTGGACTGAGAATAGTCCACCAACCGAAAACATCCAGCCAACAGCGTCCTGTGGGCAGCATCCTCTGACCACTGGTGAAGGACTAGAGGATGACCAACACAAACTGTGCAGCAGTAGATGAGCTATCGTCTCTGACTTTACATCTACAAGGTGGACTGACAAGGTAGGAGTGTCTAATAGAGTGGACAGTGAGTGGACAGTGTTTAAAAACTCCAGCAGCACTGCTGTGTCTGATCCACTCAGACCAGCGCAACACACACTAACACACCACCACCACATCAGTGTCACTGCAGTGCTGAGAATGATCCACCACCCAAATATTACCTGCTCTGTGAGGGTCCATGGGTGCCCTGACCACTGAAGAACAGGGTAAAAGGGGGCTAACAAAGTATGCAGAGAAACAGATGGACTACAGTCTGTAACTGTAGAACTACAAAGTGCACCTATACAGTAAATGGAGCTGATAAAAAAACAAAGTGATGGAGGAAAGCCAAAACAATAAAGACCTTTTCTCCTTATCTACCTTGTGGCCATCTTCTACATGGCCCTGCAATGCATTAACAATATCCTTCGGATGAATTCCTTCTTCGTCTTGTGTTTCCAGGCCCATAACATCATTGAAGACAAATGGCAGAGTCACAGAATTTCTGTTGGTAATGGTGTAGGATTTGTACTGTGAAGACATAAATAAAGTTAACAGGAGTAGCTGCTGTGATATAGAGCTGTGTTATTCAGCAGATGCAAACTCTCTTTTAGACACTGCTTAATGTCAATTAAACTCAATTAAAAATACAGTAGTGATTACAAGTGTCATTTTTAGATATTTCAATTCAATATAATGACATGATTGTTGTGTTTAAACTTTGCAGGTATTGTGGCCCTACTCTAACGTAATTGCTAAATCTTGAAAGGCTCAAGAAATACAGAGACTGTGGCTCAGAGGTTTACCGGGGCTTGAGCCAGGAGATAGACCCTGGCTTAAAGCCCAAGGCAATATCAGGAAGAGGTAGACTCAAGAGAGCTTTACCAGTAGTGATGTTATTGTTGATCCTGATGGTTCAGACCACTGAAATACATGTGATATACACATGAAGCTTTGCTGAGCAAACAACCACTTGACTGATTCAAATGAAATGAACGGCGAGTTTCCATGGTTTCAAGCCAATACCAAACAAGCGTATCTTGATTTAGATTTAGATGTCATATATGAAACCCCCACCTTGCCTATAGAGGACTATGTGAAAGACTAGGGCAAGGTTATATGTGAATAAGGTTTGGCATGAGTTTGTTGTGAGATTTGCTATAAATACCAGCTTTAAATTATCTTGAGCCTCTAAGGTGATGCTTTTTTGTTACCCACCCCAGCATCATGCTTTTGCTACTAATTGCTATTTATTGCTTTAGAAACTTCTTATTGCTTATTTTAAATCACCACAAGATAAAGATTTGGACTTCTACCCTAAGAGATCCACCAGGACAGAGGCATTTAATGGCTGCTGTTCATGCTTTTAACCACCAGAGGCCATTAATGTGCACTGGTTTTTTAAGCTTAGAGTACAGCTTCAGAAAGCTATTGCTATTTTTTTTACCAGCTTAGACAAGAAACACCAGTATGAAGGGTGATGAACTGGTATATGGCCCTCTACTTGGTACATTTTGCATTCACAATGCATGACTGATGTAACCCAATTTGCTAGGTTAAATTAACCCAGCCTGTATTGTGTCGAATAACGACCAAGGCATTAGTTCAAATCTACTCAAACTAGGTTGTTTTTCAGAGTTTTACTCTCATACACAAGACATGTAAGGAAAACCCACAGCATCACTGAAGACCCCACCTCCTTGAAATTTGCTGAGTGATGCTGGAAAAACTGGTGGCAAATCAATTGTTGTGGACCTAATGGGCAATATAACATCAGAATAAGCTCAAAGTCAATTTGACATTGAATGACATACATTTAGACCTTCACAGTTATTTTAAAGAAACTGTGAAGGTCTAAAATGTATGTCATTCAATCTCAAATTGACATTGACATAATTCTGCAGGGACCCTGAAAATGAGCTTATTATGATGTTATATTGCCCATTAGGATAAAAAAGAGATGACCAAATACAAAGTCACGGAAAGGTCATTGTTTTGCTGCTTTACCCACAATCAGTGAGCTTCTTTGGTCTTCTTTAGTGTTCTTAACTAACTAGAGATGCAGCAGTGGTTTGCCTCAGGGTGGCACTTTATAAAACTGGTTCATCCAGTTGGCTCTTCATAGCCTAGCAACTATAATTATGCCCAAGATATAGGTTATGTAATTGTCATGTAGCCTTATGACCAGGACCTACAGTAATAAGTTACATATACAAATATACTCACTGTTTTTGTACAGCTTTTTTTGGAATTTGCTTGTTCGAATGCCTTGGTTTTAATCTCTCCTTGGAAGACGCTTTGCACTGAGTTTATGAAGCAGGATTTTCCTGCTCCTACTGGTCCATGAAGCAGGATTCTGACACGTCTGAGCTCTGGATGGTTCAGCTGAATGTTTGTTAACTCGGCTTCCAAATCTTCCTTTTCGCTGTTCAAGACAAACAACTTTAAATAATTTAAAGGATTAAAAAGTCAATCAAATTAGTTTCAGCTTGCATCAAATGCATTCATCTTTATAAATGAGAGCATTGGATATTTTGTCTCTAACCTAATATTATGTGACTTATTATTAGATTCTGGTTCTGTATTACATATTTCAATTCAAACAACTGAAACAAATTAATTAGAACAAATTCATATTAAAGTCCACCAAGCACTTTATTAGGATTCCTGTACTGTGGCATGTATCATGGGCCATGCTGCCATGAGGAGCATGGGGAGTGTGGACATGCAGAGTGCAGAGTTTCATGTTCCATTTAAAGACACATTACACTGTGCTTTTGTTTCATACTACTGACTCACAAACACAGCTTTGGTCATACACTGCAATAATACAGCGTTTATTTTAGGGAATTAATTACACTAAACAATCACTGTACTCTGTTAACAACTCAGAGTATTTAGTTTTATTTCACATTTTATTTTTTCCAGTTGTTTTCATTTTAATACTAGTAAGTTTGGTCAGCAGGGGAGGAGTGCACTCGCTGCTGGACATCAAACTCCACCCACGAGCACAGCCATTAGCTTTCATGCCAAACACTGCCGTTTTATTGGCTGGCTACTGAAACATCTGCATGAATTAATGTGTGCTTCATGTAAATGATATGTAAATGAGGTGCTGGTCGGCTGGTTTCATGCACTGAAGCTGATTTATCATTTATGCTCAAATCTCCACTTGTTTCCACATCGTACAAAATTGTTATGAATCAGACGCAGAGCAGATCATACCTTATAAAACGCAAGAAAAAGGTGTTCTTTTTTTTACGTAACTTTGATGATTAATGGGCCCTTTTCACAAGATTCGTGATTACTTCCGGTTTAAGCATTAGCAGGGTAAATCTCACTTCCTCTCCATATAGCTACTGCAGACGCGATGTCAAAATGTGTAGTAGTGAACTATCGTGCTCAAACACGGAGCTACAACAGCTGTATCGTAGTTTTCCTGCTCGGTTGTGACAGTGAGAGTAAGAAGTGGACGGAGGCGCTGATTTAACTGTAAACAGAGCTGAGATGCTGTGTGTTGTTTTTACTGCAGTTCTGCTGCAGCTGCTTCACATCAAGCAGCCTCTGTGTCTTTGTACAACACGCCAGCGATTTCGGTAATATTCTGTTTTCAAAAGAAAGAAGAATTTTTATATGTAGCATTAATGTTATAGACTCTGTTTATATTAAGCTAGCTATACTGGCTAGAAGCTACTGCTAACCACACTAGCCCGGCTAACATGAAGCAGCTTTTTCAGATGTTTTTTTCAGCTCGGAGTCGCGTTTTTGACTGAGCAGTGAAAGGTGGATGTTTTCTGAAGTGCTGCTTCAAAAATTGCCATGAAACTATAAGATGAATGCTGTTTGGCAGATCGCTAACATAGCCAGCGTTAGAGCTAACTTAGCTTTAAAGTTTGCTGCTCATTCGAAGCTGGTGCTCCTCAAACTGCTAATGGCAGGCTAGCTAATTAGCGACTGTAGCTTGCTAGCCTAGCGTAAGCTAATACAGTTTAAACGAGGTCTATCCATTAATTACTTCTTAAATTCCTCTTACTTTACCATTAATTACTGATAATTAGTAATTAATGGTTAAGTAAGAGAAATTTAAGAAGCAATGAATGGTTGATTAAGTGGAATTTAAGAAGTAATTAATGGTCAAAATGTAAAGATCTAATGGCCATTAATCATCAAAGTTACGTAAAAAAAGAACACCTTTTTTTTGCCTTTTATAACGTTTGAACTGCTCTGCATCTGATTCATAACAATTTTGTACGATGTGGAAACAAGTGGAGATTTGAGCATAAATGATAAATCAGCTTCAGTGCATGAAACCAGCCGACCAGCACCTCATTTACATATCATTTACATGAAGCACACACTAATTCATGCAGATGTTTCAGTAGCCAGCCAATAAAACGGCAGTGTTTGGCATGAAAGCTAATGGCCGTGCTTGTGGGTGGAGTTTGATGTCCAGCAGTGAGTGCACTCCTCCCCTGCTGACCAAACTTACTAGTATTAAAATGAAAACAACTGGAAAAAAATAAAATGTGAAATAAAACTAAATACTCAGTGCTGTTAACATAGTAGAGTGATTGTTTAGTGTAATTAATTCCCTAAAATAAACGCTGTATTATTGCAGTGTATGACCGAAGCTGTGTTTGTGAGTCAGTAGTATGAAACAAAAGCACAGTGTAATGTGTCTTTAAATGGAACATGAAATAGTTGCAGCACTTGTTTATATCAATGTGCATGTAAAGTAAGTACATCCACTTTTGTACTGGACTGTCATGCACACAAATTAGTATTATTGAAATTTTCTATTGTTGTGCTTATTTTTGCAATTACAGATTATGTTGATAATAGTTTTGGTTAATTAGCCACATATCCAGCATTTATGCCCAAATTTACATGCACTCCTACCAGATATGAGTACAGATATGCCAAGATGAACGTGATGAATAACAAAACCGTCCATAAATTTGTGTGCGCTCATCTTACGGTCAGATGTGACCATAAGCATCTTTAATGAACCAAAGTGAGAAAAGTGAAGCAACTGAATATATGGAGGTGATGGAAAGTTAATTAACAGATAATTAGTGGGATTAACACGTAAGTGCTAGTAAGTTATCACGGTACTTCTTTATATGAAGAAAAATACTTATTAGTTAATTAACAATGTAATAAGCAGCAATTAGCACACAGATAATGAGTAAGTAAGCCACAAACTAACGACAAACTAACTTATCAACTAACAGTGTACTTAATTACCAATTGATAAGTGCTTAATCAATTACTAAATAATAGCTAATGCTCAATGAAGAGTTAACTAATAACTAAATAATGGGAAACTAATAGTTGATTATTATATATTTAATGATTGATTAGCGACCCTTAATGTAAAGTGTTACCAAGTGGGTAACCGAGAATTATTCTAAACTCAATCAACACAAAACAATTATTAATTTAGTGCCATGTATGCAAGGTATTTACTGACTACAGCAGAATAATTTACTTACTTCCAGTCCATGTCCCTCCACGGTGTATCAAAGTCTGTGAAATAAAGATAATAGAGTCACAGGGAGGAATAGTAAATGTGTATTATGTATTAAAATGTTAATTGCAGTAGGATTATAATATCAAAGGGAAAACAGAGTTGCAATGTCAGAGACATTTTTATTTTAGGCGTGGCCTTTTAATAACTGGAACATAAAAAGGTATGGTATGTTATTTTACTCAATAATGATACATGAATTAAAATGTTTTTAAATAATAACATAATTGCAGCCTTCCGTATACTACAACAGTGGTCCCCAAAATTTTTACAGTCCAGTATCCCCTCAGTCATTAAACATGCTACATACCCCAGCTCACTCCTTATACACATACACATGCATGTTGTAATGACATATATGTAAGATGTATATCCTTGTAAAATCAGTCCCCCTTAATACCATATGTCAAACATGTTTGTTATGTGATGATGCAGCACACACGATGTATTCAATAATATTGAAAGAATAAATAATGTTAATAATGCTGAGGCCTGTATTACAGGTGTGGTTCACTCTGGAGTGCTGCTCAGAACACAGGGATGAGGAAGAGGAGTGAAATTTCTTCATTTGTAGCATTAATCGCAAAGGCAGCAGCACAGGCAGTGGTCAATATGAGGGACATACACTACATGGAGTTCAGGTGTTTCTGCCACACCCGTTGCTAAGAAGTGTATAAAATTAAGCACATAGCCTTGCAATCTCCATAGGAAGAACCCAGTGACTTTAAACATGGCACTGTCACAGGATGCCACCTCTGTTGGAACCATATTGGAACAGGAATGGGCCGTCCCCAAACTGTTCCCACAAAGTTGGGAACATGAAATTATCCAAAATCTTTTGGTCTGCTGAAGGAGTTCCTTTCACTGGAACTAAGGAGCCGAACCCAACTCCTGAAAAACAAGCCCACACCATAATCCCCCCTGCACCATTGAAAATATGTGGCGCATCATTAAACTGAAAACACAACAAAAAGCCCTGGACGGTTGCACAGCTGAAGACTTGTATTACATGAAATTGGCAAAAAAATTCCACTTTTACAACTGGATCAGTTGGGTCTTCAGTTAATAAACGTAATAGGAAAGGTGATGTAACATAGTGTTAAACATGCTCCTGTCCCAACGTTTTTGTAACATATTGTAGGAATCAAATTTGGAATGAATGTATATTTACAAAAAATCTTAAGTTCATAAAGTAAAACTAAAATATTGTGTTTTTGTATTGTTTTCAAGGTAATACAGGACAAACGGAATTTACAAATCACTGTTTCCTGTTTGTATTAACATTTTACACACTGTCCCAACTTTTTTTTAGAATAAGTTTGTATAGTACAACTACCACTTAAAAAGCATCCTGGTTGAAGTTTCACATTACAAATCTTTGACCTAAATATCTGATTCTTAAAATGTTAGAATGTTTATCACACAATACAAGAAGAAAATATTTAACTAGCGTTAAGAAAACTAACCTGGTGTAGGCTGTGGTTTTGATTTCCTTGATCCCATTTTTGTAGCTTTCCCAAGTTACAAACCTCCTTTACACTGAAAGACAATAATAAAACTCAGCACAATGCTCAAAACAATGGCCTAAATGTCAAATTGATAAGCAAAGGGAAGTCTTGCTTGGTGTCAAGAACAATCCTGGCACTCAAAACAGTGTAAACCGAAACCAGGGGTGGAAAAAATACAGAGAAACTGTACTTACTGAAAGTACTTTTTCAAAATCTTATTTAATTATTGGAAGCATAGAGCCAAAAACATACTTGAGTGAAAGTCAAAAGCAGACATTTAAACATGTGCTACTATATAAATGTAAGAAATAATTGTAAAACAAATTTAAATTGTCTTTTGTCTGTGTGGTGTGATGAGGTGAATGTGTGGTACCAAATGGTGGGTACAAGTAGCATAACTGTAAGCAGTTTACATCATTTTACACAGATATGAATTTGGTTGGAAGTTTTAATAAAAGCAAATGCACAGGAACTCAGCTGAACTTGGGAGAAAATATCAAACATCCCCTAGGCTTTGAGATTCGTAGCATTTGAGTATTTTGAAGGTCTAAATACAAATATAAGGAAAACTAGTATGCCGTTTCACTTGAGAACAAAAGTATTCAGCTTTAATAAAACTTACAAATGTTCCGAAATAATAGTACTAATAAATAAAGTACAGTTAGTCAAGCATTTTCCACCCCTGGCTGTTCTTCCTCGAAAGCACAATCCTGAAAAGACATTTACTTGAAAATTCTTTAAAGTATTCTGTTTTTGAACATAATAATAACTTGGACTTACCTTGCAGACGTCTGTGCCCAAGCTAAACGTTACACGATTTCCTGAAATGAAACTAGAAATCCCGCCCCTCCTCCTCACTCTCTCACACTTGCACATGCACAGCTACAAGAAGTACATGGAATGCAAATCATCTGCTCTTGTTACGTTGTTCACCACGTAAAACCTAGAACTCCAGGTTTTGATGAACTGCTATACACACATCTCACAGGCTATTCTTTATTCATCACAAACAAAAGGAATAGATTACTAGTCACTTTACATGAGAAGACAGAATACACCATCAGAGATTTACTCTCTTTTTTTATTTCCTAAGAGCTCTTCGTTACAATTGCTAACAAGCCTCAGCGCTAAATTCTTTTAAACTGCTCCTAGAGCTGGCACAACAACACTGTTTGGATCAAACAATGCACAGTTTATCCTTGTTTAAATACAGTATGCATTCATTTTCATTAACTTCTCACTCAGTCTCAGCCTTTTATAAAACTTGTAGCTCAATTTCAAAATGCTTCAGAACCCAACGTGAAAAAAAAAAAAAGATTTTCAAATATTCAAATCACAAATACTATATCAGACAATTAAAGCTCAAAATAATGCCAATGGTTGTAGAGACGAGGTTTGTCAAAATGTTCTGATAAAGTATTCCTGTTGTAAGAACACCAGTGTTGATGTTTTGATGGAATAAGTTTATTTAGAGATGTTGCTGCCATGTTTTAATAGCTGATTATTAAGGGTATAAAACGAACTGTTGTGCTGAGCTCTATGTTTCTACAGAGAGGGGTGTGAAGAGCTTTGAAAAAGCGAAGTATCAGAGTATCAGAAGTATGAGAGTATCAGATCAACTAAACCAATCAGAGTAATCAAATACATGTGCAGACCAGAAGTGTTACAATTTGTTGCTTTGACTATGAAGACGAGCTGTTGTTGCTCCGAGATGCTTCCTTTTCACCATAACAGCGCTCACAGTTGTCTGGGGCAGATCTAGCAGGGCAGACATTTCATAAACTGACTTGTGATAAAGGTGGCATCCTGTGAAAGTGCCATGTTTAAAGTCACTGAGCTCTTCAATATGACCCACTATGTTTGTCTATGGAGACTGCATGGCTATGTGCTTGATTTCATACGCCTGTTACACACATAACGAATGAGAAAAGCTTCAGTTAGTCATGTTTACACATAGATGTCAGTAGACAGGAATATGAGCACACATCAATCACAAGAGCTACCTGTACCCTTTTTTATACAAGCTATAAAGATCATGCCATTGCATATAATCATGAGACAGAGTTTATTCAAGAGTTGCATGCATAGAGAACACATCAAGTCCCACGTTCATTCAAGTCATTGATTTGCCCTTTCTTACACAATTATTTTTACCAGAAGAACTGCAGTCACAAATTCATTCTCTTGTACTTTTAATCTATCACTTCTCACTCAAAGAAGAAAAGTATTCAGACACTATTGTTTTTTTGTTATTTAGTGTACTTCCAGTGTATATATCCACTTCAGATTTACACACATAATGGCCTTTAATCACCAACATAAAAAAGGGCACAGATTTGACAACATTTAATGATGTACAATCTACTCTGCATTTGATTAATGACACTTTTGTACATGGAAACACGTGGAGATTTGAGTGCAAATGGTGAATCAACTTTATGAAATCCAGCAGTACCTCATTTACATCATGAGCCAATGGCTGTGCTCCTAGGCCGAGTTTGAGGTTGAGCAGTGAGCAGAGCACTGCTCCTCCTACTGACCAAACAATAGAATGATGTAATGGTGTGGTGCAGTGTATGAGATGCTTCTGCACTAGCTGTATTTTGTGGGCGAAGTCAGTGGGTTAAAACAAGAGCACAGTGTAAAATGTCTTTAAACGTGGAATTTTTGCAGTATTTTTTTACGCCAATGTGCTTCGAAGGAAAGTACATCCGCTTTTGTACTGTGGACAATACTTTGAATTGCCATGCGCATAGATTATTAGTATTACTGTTATTTTCTATTTTATTCTTTCTACTTTATTCTTTAATCAATTGCACCCAAATCACGGCTAATTTTGACATCACACAACCATTTCCTGAATTAGACACAGAGTAGTTCACTCATTTCTACAAAATTTGATAAATAAGGGCCATCATCACCCAACCTGCCCTGACCTGTCTTTACTTACACTTTCAGTTTGAGTATATTAAGCTCCTGAGCACCGATGCTCTGAAACTCTCAGCTGTGAGAAGTTTCATACACTGATAGGTTAGGTTGAACATTTTGACAAAAACACAGAAACAAATGCACAAGACTCAATTAATTTGAAAAAAAAAAGAAAAATCTTTTGAGATTTGTAACAAGTACTTTAAAGGTCTAAATGAAAACAGAGTAAACAGTGCAGGATTTTGTATTGTGTTATTCTAGCTATTACCAGTATCAATACAGTAAGAAATAGTACTTGCCTTGCTGATGTCTGAGCTCAAGTTAACTGTTATATTAAGTCTTGAAATGAGTCTAGATATGCTTTCATTTTTACTTCACATCTCTCCCCCAATCTCTTTCTCACACATGCACAACCACAAAAATGACCACAAGCTGCAACTTGTTCACCACCAAACATTCACACATTTGATGAAGTGCTGTATACATCTCATGGGCTATTCTTTGTTCATATGTAACATCAGGCAACACTGAAATAAGCAGAAAGATTACTAGTCATTTTGCATATGTGAAGTCAAAGGAAAGACAGAATATACGTTAGAGAATGAATGTCTTTATGATTTGTTATTAAAAACAAGCCTTTCTTTTTGCCTTTTAAGTCATCTTTAAACTGCTGTATTAGATACTTTGTATTATTCTGTATATCATGGATTTTCTAGTATGAATTATTAATAGTGCTATGTAAAACCTGAGTAACCAGTTAAGTCCATATGTATTTGGATAGTGCTACAGTTTTAGTTGTTTTGTCTGTAAAAGGGAACCAGGCTTTGGGAAACATCAGTGTTTCAGTCTAGTTCACTCCTCTAGAGGTTAGTAATATGTAGAAAGGTGAGTAAATCAGTAAATTTGTGCATCATTTTGTAGTTGGCATCAGGTTTAAATGATGGTCTAAGCCTGTTTTCTCTATGTGAAAAATGAAAGGTCACTAAGGAGTCAAAGTACATGTATTGCTACATCCATGCTACAAGCCAGATAACACATCTGAGCATTGAACTGTCAGAAAGTGATCTACATCTACTATTACGCAACTTCAACACTATTATGCAACAACACCAGCTACTCAAAATCAACTGCCGAAACAACTACCACACTTGACAAAGCTTAGTGGTTTATGCGGGTTGTTGGCAGGTTGGCAGTCAATGATGTCAATTCAATGCGCAGCAATGTTAGCCTGCCTGTAGCAACATTTGACTGCTAAACAACCTCATACATCAGAGGATCCAGTGCCATTTTAGGGAGAAATGTACACAGGACAAAATATATTGGCTTTGGAATACTTCTGTTTACCATAGCATGAACCATTTTTACAAACATCTTTCATTTATTCATAGAGAAAAACAAAAGTTAATGTCCTATTTTTGTAATATTTTTCCAGCATGTTAAACTCAGTAAATACATAGAAATTGTGCACTAAAATGAGCAAATCCTCTGCAGAAGATGTGTTAACTTCCTGGAAAATCAACCATATGTGTAATTTGATTGTTCTTAAACATGACATAAACAAGAAAAGCATAAATGCTGAATTATCTGTTGGTAGGTCAACATGACTGTCTCATTTTATTAATACAGGGTATAATGCATATCTGGACAATGTATATAATCAAGGGATTTCTAAGAAGAGTTTCTAAGCCTACTCAAATATAAATCACTATCGTACCCATTCTTGCACCACTGTTGTTACAAGGGATGAACACCTGTTGCTTTGTACTCACTTTTACTTTCGATTATCCACCCATGTTACTCATGCGGGAACATTCTCGGTGTATTTCTATGGCACTAATTTAAGCACTTTCACAAAGCACTACCTTGGCTTTGACCAAAAAAGCAAAATTAAGGACTCAAAAAAGAGCTATGGATGCCAAAATAGTAAAAAAAAGAGAACATTTTTACTATTTTCACATTTTACCAAAACAGCTAGCCAACCAGAACACAGAGGTTCAAAAGTTATCAAGCTGACAAACAACAAAGTAAATATACTTAAATATACTAAACAACAAAGATAATGAGTTGGATAATATCCAAGGAAATGTATCTGTACTTTTTTCACAAACAGGCAAGGCAAGTTCATTTATATAGCACCTTTTATACACTGCTGTCATTCAATGTGCTTTATAAATGAAAATACAGTAGTAGTATATATCATACATGTACTGTCAAATGAGTATTTATGACCCTCCCCCTGAGTAATTTATGACCCCCTGTGATTGATAGGCCAGTTTTGATTGACAGATCAGTTTTGATTAACATGTGAGTTTTGACTGACAAGTCAGCAGGGTTTTTACGACACCCACACAACCCCCCCCCCCAAGATTTATGACAGGATTGTTGAGATGTCAGTGTCCTGTCCTTGGTGGCGTCACTTCCCCCACCGCATACTCTGTGTGCAATTAATGGTGTGACTATGTGTCTTCTGCCATGTGTTAAAGACATCTGGGGCTTTTGCTAAGTTGCTTGATGTTAGCAAGTTTCCTGTTTCAACAGACTAAACGCTGTAAACATTGATAGTGATGCTGTTATTACAACTATTATCGTGGGTCAATCAAACACAAGGGATTGGAACAGGCTATAGCAGGTGCGGGTCTTGAGAAAATGGTGTATTTAGTTGGTTCAGAAGCCCTATGCATTCCTATGTTGTGTTTAAATGTTTTCCTTAAACTGTTTACAGATTTGTACACCAGTGACTGTTCGGCGTATGGTGATGTGGGGGGATTGGAGCGGCGCCGGAGGCCGATGATGTTGTCTGGACTGAGGAGTTGTTGGACACGTGGAATGAGAACAGCTTTACAGAAAACGTGGATGAAACAGCGAATACTGGACCAATTAATGCTGGATTAAACACAATATTGAAAGAACTGAGAGACTTTGATGGGGATGGCTTAAGACTGAA